TCAGAGGAATAGCTGGGGGAACGTTTTTAAAACGCTTTTCTTGGAAAGTGCCCAGTGGGTGCGAGCCATTTGCCCACGAGGTTGGCACATAGCTGTTGGCTGGAAGAGGTTATACGCTCCTTTTTTGTGCAGGTTGATTTAGGGGACTTGCAGAGAGAAGAGCATTATTTCATACCCTGTGTTGTTTCTTGGGGCCAGAGCAAGACTTTTGAACAGCAAACTCTCTTCAACTTTATCATCTCAGAGCAACAATCTCATGACATTTTCTACACCTCCGGAGCAAGACATCTCCCTCCATGTGCCAGCTAAATTTTCTCCATCCTATCTCAGTCCCTTGCTTCTTGTTATGCCCCTTTGTTCATTTGTTCATAGAGAAGCTTCTCATTTCCATCAGGGTGATGCTGTCAAAAGCACAAATGTTCATTCAGAAATGAACCCCACTTGCAATATAGATACAGGCAATTGGCTCCAAAGTGTTAAAGAAAATCAGGACGCTGGCTTACAGGCATAGCTGTGCCCCTGCGGATGCAGCCTAATGTGGAGTGGAGGAGCAAGCTTTAAACTCGCTGGCATGGTTGTGTGCCTGCAGCAGTCAGCAAAGGCATTGGCCCTGGTGAGAAGCAGAATAGATGGTCCTCCAGATCGTACCCCGTAGAGACCATTGGTTTATACGGGTGCAAACCACCAGCATCTCCCAGTGCTGCTTAGCAGAGAAATGCGAGGAAGAGATTTGCCAGCAGGGACTCCTGGGCTCTTGGTGAGTCACCAATTAATGATTTGTGGATATGGCTTAGGAGCTGTTGCACTAAACTTTGGGTCATCTTTGCATGCTACATCCTTTATATATTTTACGCTTTGGGAATGTTTTTCCAGTCCTCATTACCCAACATTACTCCTTCAAGTCTGCCCCTTATCCTCCAGCAAGTTTCTTCGTTGGCTAGCCTGACCTCTCAAGAAGTCTTATACCGATACCAAACCACAGCATGGCTGGAGTACTTGTTTGATAAGAGTCATCTGTCATTGTTGAGCAACAGCAACAAGGAAACAGGCAATATTTCAAACTGGAGCAGAATGAGAAAAGACAAAGCAAGAAGAGATACTACTGTAAACGTATGAATCCCCTAACAGGGAGGTGGATATCCAAGCCCTGAGCCTCCGGAGAACTCTGTGTGCCAGTACCAAGTTCTGTTTAAAGATCTGTTTAAAGGGTGTACATGTTGTGGTGGAAGCAAGGCCACAACTTCCTCCTAGTCTGCCTAAGTCTTGGGGGGTTTTATTAGATTTGGTTGGACGCAGATAATTTTAAACGGTATTTTCACTGTAATTCCACAAATACAGGGATAGTGGCTTTACAGCACCTTATACTCCTTTTTAGAGTCTATAAGTATCTTAGTAGTCACAGGCATTCAGGAAGTGCTCTGAATTATGCACAGTTTAAAAAGTCAAAGCTTGTAAGCAGTGTTTTAGCATTATGTTTAAGATGTTTTCTAGACTGTATTTCAGCCCAGAGTAAATTAGCAGTGGAAGAAGAAAAGAATTAGGAAGAAAAACCCAACAGAATTTGTCATAAAATGGCAAAACTTTGCTTAAAGCCATGAAACTCATATACATTAGCAAAAAGGACCTTGCCACCTGCAGCAAGTATTTCCTTTTCCAACACGAAGGCACATCCACATGTCACGTGCCCTCTCTGGGACGCAGGTGCAGAGGAGATGGATGGTTTGATGTTATTGAGTCATCCAGCTAAGCAGCCACATTCCCTTCCCCGAGGTATAGGCAGGTGTGGTCATGGATTATGCGCCTTGCTTTCCTCAAGCCACAGCCTCCGCTCGTGTTGCTACACGGTTTCCCAATACCAGCCACGACTTGTCCTCCAAGTGGCAAGTTGCCCCATCACTTTCTCCCTAGCCTCAGCTACTTGTCCAAACAGGAGAATCCCTCTGTCTCACCTTTTGGTTGCCGCAGCTTTTCTTGGGAGGCTTCTCCTAAATATCCCCAATGCCACGCTCCTCACAGGACATGCTGCCCAGCCTTCAGCTGCGTGGGTACCTCTGTCTCCGCGAACAGTATCCTTCATGGGGCACTCGTTTCACTCGGAGCCAGCACGATGGTTCCACTGAGCCAGCAGCATTGTATAATGGACAAGGGCATGTTTTAAAATAACTCATTTGAAGTATGTTTGCTGAAAAGGTGTAAAGGAATAAAATATTAATGATGTCAAGCATGTAGCCCTTCTAGAGCTACAGAGTTATTTTTGTATGAGGACTTTAAGGTCGTAAATTCTAGGGTTACGTGTGAATAACTGAGAGTGGAATCTGACCCCTTATGTCTGAAAAAGTCCTAAATTGTTATTAGGTGGAAAGAATACAAACCATTATTTCAAAATAATGCTAGCTGGGGTTGGAAGATTCACATTCAGATAGTAGGAAATGGTAATTTCAAGGTTGCCAAGCAAACATAATCTTTCTGCACAAGTGCATATCCTACGTTCAGTAAGGCAAGGTTCCTAGGGAAAATGACAAGTGTAATTAACACCTGTCTCATCATGCATGCTCACAGGGGAGGGCAAGCTGCGATTGTAATGCTAACTGCTCCTAGCACATGCTTTTCTTTGAATAGAGGGTTTTAAACAAAACTTCCTGTGTTCATATTAACCCAAATACTCTCCTGTATGTTTCTAACAGTGCCTGTGTCCTGTGTTGCAAACAAGGCCGAACTTGAGCTGTCTTTCAGCAGACTTCTGCCTTCCTAGATACCAAACTAACTATTTTAGCTGAGACTGTTATAGAGAGCTAGATCACTGTCGATGCTGCAAATTCTTTAGTTCTTTGTAGCTTTGGAGGCTGTTAGTCTCTTGTATTAAAGATTTCAGGCTTGTTATGGAGCGCTGGGGTTCTTCCATGGCTACTGGGGTAAAGGAGAAGATCCTGCCGGAAGCACTGCTGTCTGTTGCCTGTGATTGTGAGAGGCTGAAAAATGATGAGCTACATTTTTAATAAAGAACTGCCAGAAAAGGGGAACGGGCAGAGCTGCAACCCGGTGCCCGGTCTGGAAGTTGGTGGGGGATAGGCTGAGTTTTCTTTCTGTCTGTCCCTCCATGTTGGAAGAGCATCTGTCTGATGTGTCACTTCAAAAGAGCAGGGAGCTGGGTCTGAAGGAGTAGTTGGGGGAAGCTTGGCTCCATCTTCCCTCTAAAGATACTTGATAGTTCCCAAGCATTGCCAGTGTAAGTAGGACTATGTGGGCTTTTATGACTTTATTTCAAGTTCATTTGTTATTTGCTGTCAGAATTCTCCCAAGGAATGCAAACAAAAGGGGTTAAACGGTGATTACTTTGGACAATCTAAGTAGAGGACTGATGACTGTCTCCCCATGCAATACAAGAAACTTAATGGCTTGTTGATGTCCTTTGGTGAGTGATTATGTAGCCTGGTTGTTTAATGGGTTGTTTAAAAATTGTCTTGGCAATAGCCTATGAATAATGCATTCATGAATAATGAAATGCCTTACTGCTAAAGAACTGCTGATATGTTGGGGAACATTCTATCAGATATGAGAGCAATTTTGAAAGCACTGCATTTCCCAAGGTGCCCCTATCTGTGGTCCTGCTGCTTCAGAGACTGCACTCCCTTTTTAGATACTGCATGTGAAGACGCCCTCCACCACCTCTGCCTTGGTCTTCCAGCTTCACCCAGCTTCCCTTTGCTTATGTCTGCAAAAGCCCCTGAATTTTGGTGAACTTAGGTCTTATTAACTGAGCAGTGTGAGCATGGCGCTATTTGCCTCACAGCCTACAGGTACCTGTTCCAGATATATGGAATATCAGTTCCAGATATCTGAACCAAGCTTTGTGTCATGGCAATGCTCCTCGATGCAGGAAGCAGTACGGGGCCAAGTGTTTGGGAAAAAAAGACCAGCATTTCTTTCCCAGGTTTCTGGAGCATGGGGTCCTTGCATTAGATAAGCACCCCCAGCACGCCACTCGTGGATGTCACGGATTTTGCTGAACTTCATAGTATGAACCCAGCAGTGATGCCTCTAGATTCTCCCTGGTGTCTTCCTCTGATGCATGGGGCCTGTGTGTGCTTTGGCCATCAATAATGGGAAGCTCTTGTGATACTAAGCAACTAAACCTTGCCTGACCAAAGAAAAGGGAACCCTGAGAGAGAACCTGCTGGTGGCAGGGGATCTCTAGGTGCCGTACTGCCTTCGCCGTAGGTGAGCATAGTATGCACTTTACCACTGTCTAGGATGGTCCCGGCTGAGCATATGGGAAGAGCAGACCCAGCTTGGATAGGCTGTGGAGTCTGTAGCTCTGTGCCGTCTCTGCCTTGTCTTCATTGTGAGTAGCTTGGTGCTCATGCTGCATTTTGGTGCCTGGATTTACCCAAGAGATTCCTGAGCCAAAGTGTTTCCTGCAATATAGACAGAATATAATTAGTGTAATGCTAAAACAAAACGACATGTGATTGATATTGATATTAGTTAACTGAGGAAGTGACATCCCCACCTTGGAGCAGATGGGTTTCAAAGTCATGTGGTGACGCTGACAGCAAGCCTCAGGCATGAGCCTACAGGGCAGGAAAGTGAATGGGTTAGAACAGAAGTTATATCCCCAAGGTGATCTGTAGCTAGCTAAGCAGGAATATTCACCTAGCTGTGAGGGAAGATTTGCACTTTTATTGGCTTGTTTGCTGCTGGGCTATTCCTGGGGACTGCAGTATTTTCTCAGCTACTGGAAAGGTGTGTATAAAAGGGGTTAGTCTAAAGACAAGAGAAGTGCAAGGGCCACCACTGGGTACTGACTGATGGCATAAATATTTTCAGTAGAACATAATAAAGGGAAAAGGTATCTAAAACTTCCTCCATTTCCATCACCCAAAGACCACCAGCCAAAAGGTGTTTTCAGCAAAGACGTTGACAAAGGTCTAGGTTGGAGATCATTGTCAAGTTCAAGCAGCCTTTCTCTAAGATAGACATGTTGCTGGCCAACAGTATACATGAAAGGGAAACTTTCAAAAGTAAGGCAGCAGTTCTGGGTGCAGTTTATTCCACTGATGCTTCTGATGATCCTATTAATTTCCATTTCTTTTAATGATTGTTTCTTTTAGGTGAAGAGTGAAGGCCCCAAACTGGTGCCTTTCTTTAAAGCCACTTGTGTCTATTTTGTCCTCTGGCTGCCAACTTCCAGTCCTTCCTGGTTCAGTGCCCTCATCAAATGTCTGCCCATCTTCTGCTTGTGGGTTTTCCTCCTGGCTCATGGAATCAACTTCTTAGTCGTGCACCGGAGTGCCAGTCGCATCCTGGCAGGACTCATATTCTCGGCAGTGGGAGACGCCTTTCTCATCTGGCAGGAGCAGGGCTACTTCATTCATGGTGAGTGAGGCATCAGTCCTAAAGGGATGCCACAGCGGCCAGCTGTCACGTTCTTTATTTAGTAATGAGTTGCTTGGCCATGTGGTTTGTTTATTCATTTACAGCTTAAGCCCCGGGCAGTGGGAGGTGCTCATCCCTTGACTAAAATCCATTGCATTTAGAGGAGTCACGCAGTGGATGAGTCTCCTGACCTTGTTTGTGTCCCTGCTCCAAGACTGGAGGAGTGATTGGGGCAGGTTTGTTTTCCTGGCACGTGCTTGCTGGGCCTCGGGTGGCTGGAACAGAAAGGTGGCGCAGGCAGTATCCCCGAGGAAGAGAAGGAAGCACTTGTGGCACTTGGCAGCTTCTGCGTAGCTATGGGCAGTGTCTAGCTCCTACCTTTCTGCAGGGAGATCTGTCAATCCTGCAAAGATCTGAAATAGTGCACATGGTGCAAAGGCCCCTTAGCGGAGACCAGGTGGAGAGCACCCTTATGGTTTTGTCAGACAAGCCAATGGTCTGGCAGAGGTGGTTAGGTGGATGCTAGAAAAACAAAGCATCAGAAACATTGTCCTACTTGCAGGTTCATCAATATGAATCATGCAGCCTGTTTTACAAAAGCAGGAGCTGGTTGGCAAGATGTGTAAATGACAGGGAATCAGGGGAAAGCCTAGCAGGACAGCCTGTCTTCTCTTTAGAAAGATCTACATCTCTCAGAGCAAAACAAGCTTGTTTGTTTTATTTTGTTAGTTTGCAGACTAGAACATAATGATTCAGATTAATGATTTAAAGCCGCGTTGTGCCTGCCTGCGGCAACGCTCCCAGTGGCCTTGGACTGTCGTAAGAAATCAGCAGCAGTCAAGTCTTTCACTTAACTGCACTGGTGGCATTTCTGAAGTTTACTTCACTAGCCCAGTGGTCTCACTTGAACACCCACCATTAACTGACTGCTGTGACTGTGGAAAATGTGATGAGATGAGGGAGCTTTTCTCATTAGTGCTGTTGTCAGCTCCAAAAGTCAAAGGCTTTTTTTTCTTGCCCTTCACACAGGAGGTCAGCGTTTTGTTTTATTCTGGGATTCCCACAAGCTCTGCTTTCTTTAGGAGAGGAAAGTGTGTGAAATGCCAGATATGAAAGGCCAAATGCTTTGAATCTGGTTTTAATCCTGCTTCCCAAGGGCTTACCCAAATCTCATTAAAAGTTCATGTAGAAACTCTTAGTGATTTTGGTGGGGTTTAGACTGGGCCTGGAGGCCTGGATCCATTCAGCTGAGTTTTGGGCACGTTGCTGAGGAGCCCCAACCTGCGCTCAGGGAGCCATCCCCTCTGTGCTGACTGTTGGCGTTCCTGCTGCCTGGCCTCTCTTCACAGGGCGCCTGGCTTAGCCCTTGGGGTGCTTGGCCCAACTGCCCGCCATTCTGTGTTGCGTCCCGCAGTTGCTCCTTCAGCTGTGGCTTGGAAAACATTCAAGGCCATGTTTCTCCCTGTGACTGTTTCTGTACATGCACTGCACAGAGGTTCCCCCCATTCCCCCGTAGCTGGGTATCTCTCAGTCCCCTTTCTCATCTGGCACTACAGAAAAGTCGGCCGGTCACAACAATTCATTGTCTCATTGTTTTAGACGGAAAATAAGCTGGATTTTGACCTTCTGCCTCACAACTGAGAAGCGTCACGTTGGGGGTTTAGATACATTTTTCTTTGTGATTTAAGGAGAGTATTTGTTTAGCTGTCTTGGAGCACTTTGAAAATCTCAACCTTTATCCTGGCTGTCTCCTGCCTGCCTCAATCCATTCAAATCCAAGCTCCTGTCTTCCACACTGAAGCGTAACATTTGCGTTTCAGCTGTTAGCAGAGAAATGCACTACGCTACTTAATCTTTCACCTCTCCTGCAAAATATTTTCTCCAGTTTAATGCGCAGCAGCCTACTGTGGTTGGCAACTGGAAACATTCAAACTTTTGACATCATCCTTTGTGGAAATTTCAAATTTCAAGGGAATAAACAGCCAAAAATATACTTTCTACTTGATTTCTATGGCTTTCAGGCTGAAAAAAAGGGTTGGAAACTGGGCTAAATTGAATAGCTTTTGAGACAATGAGTTTATTAAAGGACATCTGTTCATTATTTTACACGGAAGTGAGAGCCTGGGAACTTACTTCTGACACACTTGACTTTTATCCATTTTTACTGCTTCAGTCCACTAATAACCAGCTATTTTCTGACTAGTGGCTTCCTGTATGTAGAAGATACTTTACAGTATTACAATCCACCTCCTTTGATAACAGGCACTTAGAAACAATTGATGCATTCAGTGAGGAAGAGAGGGATTAAGGAAAAAGACTTAACAACCGCGTGAGGCGAAACTCCAGGGGTGGGAGGGGGAAGCAAACCTAGGCTAGCTGCTTCCATCTAGGTGGCCCAGAATAAAGTGGAGAGGAGAAGGAATGAATGGGTACAGAAAGGCTGATCTGCCTGACTTGGTGATGGGGATCCCAGCCAAAGGCTGAACAGAATTTGTCACCTAAATGTCTCTCAATAGCGGAAGTACATGCCCCTCCTAGTGCAGCCATCATTGATTTCCCTGGTTCCTGGCTTTACTTGTGGGTGTCAAACGAGCAAACCTGAGAGCATTTTCTCAGTTTCTTGTGTTTGTGCCCAGCCTCACCATACCACAAAACTCCTCCTGCCTTTCTTTGCTTCTGCTTTTCCTCCCCTCTCCTTGTTTCCCTGCGTTAGCTACAGTGGGGCTACCCCAGGAGGGCTGAGGCCCCGTGCTCCTCTGTCACTCTTCCTGCTGCCTCTCCCCTCCCTCCCTCGGCTACCACATCGTGTCCTCCCCTCCTCCTCCTCACTGCCTGCCCAGGCACCGCTGCTTGCTGCCTGCATGAAGGACACCACGTTCTTCAATTCCCCATCTCAGCACTCTCCACTTAATGCCATTGAGGGAGAAATCGCTCCTCACTGCTAGGATGAGGTAACCTTCCTCTCCTACCACCCCCACAGCTCCAACCTTTCCTGCACTATAAACAGCTCTTGTCCAAAATCCCTCCTTGGTTTCCTTCAATCTATTGTTGTGCTCGTGGTGTTTAATAACTTTGTAAAACATCACCTTCTTGTTGCCCTCCTTTGTGCTACTCTTCCTTCCCCTTCACGCTATCCATTTTCTCCAGCCTGCAGACCAACTCCTCCCTACCACCTCCCTCTCTGTTCTGCAGGTTCCCCCCTCACCCCACGGTTTCAGTGGATGTTTGATCTGGTACTCCCCAAAAGTAGGAAGACACTTCCCTTTCTTGGAGCAGCCTCAGCCTGCAATGGATGAAGAGCAAACATCTGCCAACAGCAGATTTTAGCGACTCCCCTTGACACCTACAGTGTCATATTTTAATTTTAAACAAGTGGCCTGCTTGAGCACTTGGCTCCTCAGATCCTTTTCATCATTTCATGCTTTAGAGCTATATAGAAACTTCCAGCCACACTAGTAAACCTATCTGGATAAAGTGGAACAGCCCGTTAGCTGCACCACATGTAGGTTGGGGAACAGAGGCCTGACCAGAGGAGCTAGACTCTGTTTGGGGCCCACTACGTACAACGGGCAAGAGAACAAGTAATCAGCAGCTGTACCAACACATGGGGACACTTTTTTGTCAAATGGATTAGTGGCAAGTGAATAACACACGGGCAGTACTTTCTAACACCCATAGCTGGGATTTCTCAGGGATGTTGCACTTCAGAGGAAGTCTGCATTTTATTTTTGTTGATTAATTCCAGTGAAGGCTCATCTGGAGCTTGCAAATAGCCATAAAACCATTGACCAGTCACATTAGTGTAGTCCCTGAAATATGCCAGGTGCTTCTTTCCAGCTTAGGTTTCTCCTAGCTGTATGCAAAGGTGGAGTAGAGGCCAGATTTAGTCCATGATTGCTTTTTAGGTCTGTGGCTAAATACAATCAGACTTTGGGTCTGGGTTTGGGGGGGGATCAGTAGCTTTGCACATTTTGTTCTCACCTGCTCTGATTCCATCCTTCCTGTTTCACAAGTGACCTAGGAGTGAAATGCTTCAGGTAGTTAAAGAGGGGATGATCAATGGTCTTCCTTGCACCCACCCTTCTGTCCAAAACAAGGGAGGTGGATCCATCTGAAAAACAAATTTTGTTCCTTCTTTAGCAGTTTAGTCACTTAGTCTTATGGCAAAATGATTCTATCTTACCAGAGTTGTGTTCAGTTGCAGCTGTAGATGCTCTGAGGCATTTTCTCAGGACAGGAGTGTGCTGATAATGCTAACCTCCTGTGCACAGGTTTTTATAATAAAATGATCCCAAGTGTTCAGTACGGTTCCCAATGAACTCATATAAGGGGTTGTAACTGGTGCTGTGTATTTTAAGCTCAATACAGCCACATGCTTTCTTCTGCTTTGGACTGCCAGTCACTCTGACGAAAGGTCACACTTGCTATGTCAATGCCTCTTTCCAGGTCTGCTGATGTTCGCCATCACACACATCCTGTACTCCTCAGCCTTCGGCATGAAGCCTTTGGACCTGAAAGCTGGCCTGTTGATGGGCCTTGTTTCCAGTTCCTGTTATGCCTTCCTGTACTCCTACCTCTCGGGCCCATTCACCTACTTGGTGGCAGTCTACATCGCCTTGATTGGCTTCATGGGCTGGCGAGCTGTCGCTGGCATGCAGCTCTGCAACGACCTCTGGACGTGGACCAAGCTCTCGGCCTGCATCGGCGCGATGCTTTTCATGGTGTCGGACCTGACCATTGCAGTTAACAAGTTCTGCTTTCCAGTGCCCTACTCACGCGTCATCATCATGGCTACTTACTATGCAGCCCAAATGCTTATTGCACTGTCGGCTGTAGAGAGCAGAAATGAAGAGGACTTTAGAAAGAGGAACTAGGTGGAGTGCCAATAGCTTGTGGACAGTGTGGGTTATATCTCAGGTGCTGTAGCTGCATTCACCCCTGAGAGAGATCTCCATTTCTCTAGGCACACTGGTGATGCTGATTTTGCTTCTTTGAAGCGTTACCTTTGGGGCTTTTTTCCAGTGGCTTTCTCTGACTACTGCTTACTTCAGTGTGGAGTCCACATCAGAAAGCTTAGACTGTCCCTGCAGTAGCTACTCATTCAACTTTTCCTCTTTGGAAGTGCTGTACTACTGCATTGTATTTGTTAGTCCTGAAACTGATGCTGAATGTCTGGGAAGAGGGAGGATGACGGAAAGGAGGTTTGGCAGTGCACTGTGCTAGGAGACTTGCTTTCAATAGGGGGCAGACAGGCCCACCTCTCTGCTAAAGTCATAGGTAAAAATTAATTTTGCTGGTATTTTAACTAGTCTCTCTTTTAGTGCATTGCAAACTCAGTACGTAAACTGGAGCTATCAGAGCCTCTGCTGAAAGGAAGCCTAGAAGCAGAGTAAAAACAGCGCATTCAGATGAAGGTTGAGCTTTGGAGACAATGGCAGCATGTGGGCCAGCCCCCAGCAAAACCGGAATGAAAGCAAAACACCAAGCAGAGAGGAGCACATAGCAAGAGGTGTGCTGCGATGCAATGCTGTGTGCTTTGATCACAGCTGATCACTGCTCCAGAGCAGGTCTGTTGTGTCTCAGTGCTAATGTGTGGCAGAACTAGGAACTTCAGGGAAATCTATGTAGCCAGGCCAGCGTGTTCTCCCTCTGCCACGTGTGCGCAGTTACATGGTGTCAGCAGCCACCAGTGACAGCTGAGATGTAACGGGAACACGAAGAACTGTGATTTTTACAGCAGGACTTTGAGGATCTGTCTTACTAAGTGTCTCCTTAATATGGCAGATAGGAATCTAACCTTTATGCCTTTCTTCCTCATGATTTTAATGAATAATACTCCATTTACTCGTTAAGCTTTTACAGTACTGCTGCTTGCAGTATTGCTCCCAGATCTCCCTGCAAGCACTTTCCTTGTCTGATGGTGGTTATTCAAAGCCCTCATTTTGGTTGTAGATGGTTGTTGCCTTTTGCCAACTAGTGGCACATGATCAGCTTTGCACCACTTGCTTTTTTTTTTTTTTCAGCAGAGCTTCACAAGAAGCACTGTCCTGTGTGCTCCAAGCGCGTGCTGCTTCCTTCTTGTACTGATATGAAGGCAGCAAGAATGTTGGAGCCATCAAGGTTGGGAAAGCCTATATAAAACTGATCCAAATTCTTTGTTCAGTTTGTCCATCTGCTGAAGCAAGATTACTTCTGACTTCAAACTCTCTTAAAAAGATACGGAAAGAGGTCACTCTGCTGATTAAACCAGGTTCATTTGTGATCATATTTTTTCCTCTGATTTGGGATACCTTACAGCGAGCTCTATTTCTGTTTCAAACTATCTATCTTGAATGTGTTCTTTCTTTCAGTCCATCCCAGGGCCATTTCTGTGGACTGAGATGCTCCCCTACTGGCTTGTTTCTAAGGCGCAACTAGTGCATGAGGTGTGCAAAAGCAGTTTGATGAGGGTTCTTGCACCTTTTCAAACCAAAACAACTAAAACAGACTGCATGACTCAAATCCGCGCGGGCTCCAATAACCCGTTCAGTACACTCACACGGGCAGAACAAACAGGAGGAGCAACCCTCCAAAGTGTCCTCATAGGCTGCAAATCACTGCTGTCTCCATAGCTAGCATGCCTGAACCATTCCAGTCAAAAGCCTGGCACTGAATCCCTGGAACAGTTGTCGGAGCAGGAATTCCTCTATGTGAGGTAGTATGGCAGGGTCAGGGGGTAGTTAAGGGAAGGTTACTAAACCTACTAGGTTTTCCATCAGTGCTGAGAGGTGCTAAGTGGGTTTCATGCACCTCCCCAGCCTTGCACGGTGGGATTCAGGGTGGAATAGCCATTCCCTACCCAGGACTCTTATGCATTAGTTCAAATACAGTCAGTATTACAAAAAATCTAGGTTAACTGTCCTGACCCTGTGGCATCCTCTGCTGCTTTTCAGACAGAGATCAGAAGGTCAGCTGCATTACTGAGAGGGAAAGCATTGTAAATAGCACAGGTCCATGTAATCTCTTCCTTTAATGTTGTTGTGTAATATTGTCAGTATGCATTCACTGCAGCACCAGGGACTGCCTGGAGTAACCTGCTAAGGGAATTTAGAGCCATACAACATTTTCATTCATCAGTATCATTATTTCCTGGCCGCAGCGTGAACCCTGCATTGTAGCTCTCTGTGGAGGTCACCTGCTGCTACTCAGCTTGACAGTTTGCAAATCTCTTCCTGCAACAGACTGACCCAGCTAAGAGGAAACTGAGCATTTGGGGTGAGCGCCACCATGCTCCCAGGGCATAAGCAAACAGCACGTTTCAGTCTGATTTACATCTCTCTGTCATGGGTCATTCCAGCACACTGAACCCTTGCTTGTCAGTTTTCCAGAGGAACCCCCTGGCTCTCCTTTGCTTTGAAGAAGATGGGTATGTGTTAAAAAGTAACCTATTTAAAAGTTAGAATGCCAGTCTGAGCCATTAGCTTTCTCTTCCCTAGAAATTAGAAGTCATCCATTTTCTGACGGTGTCTCAGTTGCTCTTCTGCAGTCTTTTTCATCTTGGCTTCCTTTGCTATCCTGCTCTACTGTCAGCCACTGTATACTTCAGGGAAAGCTCTTCTAAATGTTAATAGGAAACCTGCCCTCTTGATGAAAAGATTCTCCACTCATCGTCAGAGGTGCTCTTTGTGGCAGCTGAGGTCTCTGGGTGGATCTAGCTAGAGCGTGCTCCTGCCCGTGACTGCGAAGCACAGCCCTCTGCATAGGAAGTCAAAAAGAGTCCTGGGTTGTTTGGAGGTTCACCAGCTAAGGCTCTTAATCGCCAATCTCTCTCTCCTACTCTGCAGTTCCTCTTTTAATCCACATTACTTGAATGAAACCATTTTCCTGGAGGCTGTCTTTCCTGCTAGGGAGAGGCCAGCTGCTGTGGACACTGACTTGACACAATTCTGATTTTCATAAACCTTGAGAAACACTGAGTGGTTGCTGACAGTCTGTTAAACATCTTTGGGCGGGGGGGTGCATGTGTGAAAACACTTCCCTTTTCCACTGGTGAGGGCAGTCTTCAGTTCGAAAGGGAGTAAACAAAAAATGGGGACCGCATGATTGTGGCATTGCCAGGCCTTTCTGGACCTTCCCATTGCCCATTTATGCACTGTCAAACTGAGAAGTTTGTTCTGTTCTTCCCCTCTTCCTTTCAAGGACCCAGTCTTTGAGGCGCACTTGCTCTTTGGCCCAGGGACTTTAGATAGAGGGGACAAAACACCCCCCGTATGTGCTGTGTGCCTGGTCCCAGCAGTATTAGCTCCTTCACTTGCTAAGTACAGAGGCTTTCTTTTTACTATACTGTACTCAAAAGCCCCTCTGAAATTCCCATCTACAGTTATTTGAGGTTATGATGCAGTGCAATTACTTCTGTTCTCTTTCATTACCATAGTTAGCACCCTTTGGCTTCTTATTTGGAAATGCAAAAGTTGTGGCTAATGTATGTCAGCCATATACCTCTCTCTGTAGATAGATCCTCCTTGTCTTTGCTCACACAAAACTCCCCATGAACTCAAAGAAGCAATGCTTATCACAGCCCATTTTTAATGATAGTAATGCTACCGGGCTGTGCCAGATATATTAATGTCAGTAGTGTGAAGCTGGTGAAGAAATGGCAGGGTGAGAAGCCAGAGGATTTTGAACAACTGTATTCCCACCTTGGCACAAAAGCTGTGCTAGTGCTTAATACCTGGCTTCTTACCCTTCCATACTGAGGCAACTGTAAGACCTGATTGATTTAAGATTAACTCTAATGTGGCTTTGAATGAGATTGCTGAAAATGCCATGCTGCCAGCAGTGGAAATACACACACACACACACACACACACACACACACACAGAATTCCCAGGACAAAATTTCAAGGATTTTTAGTCTTTCTTCTAAATTTTCTTGCTCCATAGTTTGTCACTGAGACCTGTATGTTTTCAGCTTGTTTTCATGGTAATTTTGGGGGTTGTAATTTTGGGGGTTGTTCTGGAAGAAACAGATCATAGCAAAGAGCAACTGTAAAACTCAGTGGCAGGTGCCTCTTTCTCTTTGCTGGGTTTCTGGATGCAGACAAGGCTGTCTTAAGCAGAGGCAGCGTAACTGTGATCTCCAAACGGGCTGGGAAATTGCCGGCTTCCCGTGACAAAAGTCCTCCCAAGTACTTCTCCTGCCTTTTGTCCATGCATACTCCTTTTGTGGCCTTGTGTGTGTCACTTAAATTTTCCGCGGCCAGTTCCTCATCTGTTGTAAATGGGCATCAGTGTACGCAAATCAGAGCTATGCCAGGTTGCAACAGCAGGGGACCAGGCCCTCTATGTCTTATCTCATCCCATTTCTAAAATGGGGATATTAACACATACCTACCTCACAAGGATGCTGTGAGGATTAATGCTCATACAGCACTTTGAAAATGTAAAGTGCTATATAAGTCCCAAGTATTATTGTCATATTGTGTTAAAAATGCTTCTAGGGAGTTGCAGGACTTCTCTTAAAAGCCTGGAATATGTGACTGCCTTTTTCATTTATACCAGATGGAAAGCAAATGCAAAATATTTATTCTTAATGTCTAACAGGATGGGCTTGGTCACATTTGAACTTGGAGGAGCGTTTCGCTTGAAAGTCTGAACTCTAATCTCAGTTTTGCAAATAGTTTTTAGTTCTTCTAAAAGTCTCAACCAAATCCTTAAGATATGAACTTTGCATCCAAATTTTGCAGTCAGGTCTCATCCCTGACTGTTAGCAAGAATAAATCTAATCCAGCCAAAATGCAGTGCTCTCAGTCATGACTGTTGAAAAAACTGGAACAGAAAATGAAGTTATTCTGTTTGACCTTCATTTTGCAGAAGGTCAGCTCAGGTTCATGGGGCATCTTACAAAGGGATGTTTAATTTCTGTGCTTGTAAATTTCACTGGCTTTAAAACCAGCCGAGAGGGAAGGCCTTGACGGAATCAGTAAGGTCAGCACGTCCTTCTTGGGATTATTTCCTTTTCACCTGCATGGCTCTGTAGAGAAGGAAGTGCTTGTACCATCAGTCCTATGGCCCAGGACTTTGTAGATTATAAATACAGCTCTAAACCATGTTCTCAGCTAGTACAAAAATGCCCCAGTTCACTGATTTCAAATCTGGTTCCGCATCTAGAAAGTACTTGATTCTGGTAGCGCTAGCTGCTCTACAAACACAAATGAAGGCAAGCAATGACACACCAAGGAACGCGAGTTGTGTACATATGAAACGGACCATAATTTCGAAGCAGCTGCAGTAAAATCTTATCTTAATATGAACTCCGAAGCAAATACAATGCAAATTTTTGTTGTTTCTTTAAAATGTTTGATGGGTTTTAGTTTTCTTAGTTTGGAGGAACTTTTCTCAATGTTATTTTATTTTTGCTCTTACTGTAAGAAATAAAAATGTACAGCTCTAGATAGACTATAACTTGTAAAAAGGTGGCCAGTTGGCAAGAATGCCAAAACTTCTGTGGCTTGTATTGTTTCTGTGGTGACACTATGCTGCTGTAGGATGAGCTACTGGAGTGGTGCGATGATGGTACAACAGTGAGGCTGAAGCACAAGGCCCACTGCAGACCCTTACAGCCAGTCCTATACAAGAGGGATGCAGGGGCCGAGCCACTGAGACAGCAGCGGGAGCACAACTGGGCCACTTTGGATTGGTAAAAAGAGAGAGAAGCATCGTCAGGAAATAAACTCTTTTCTGACAGTTCAAAGGCAAAAGACCAAATCTAGCCCGCTGGGTCAGACCTAGACCTTGCTCTTGCAGATTGCTGCTAGGACCAGGACCTACATTCACCAGGGGAGGCTTGCTCTAGGCCTACAGCGCTAGCAGGGTCAGGCCAGCAGAGCCTGGCCCTTAGCTAAAAAAAAAAAAAAAATCCAACAACCCCAACCAAACAAAAAAGCAAAGCAAAGAGCAAATGCCATTGGGTGAACAGTAGTTCTGCCTGGCTAAGTCTGTCCTGGCTGGTCTGTCCTGAACACTAATCTCCATGTCTTGTACTCAGTCCGAGCCTCTCATTCCATCCCTTCGCCCACGTGCTCCAGGCAGAGTGCAATGAAAGATGTGCCTGAAGCAGCTGTTCTCCCTTGGAGAGTCAGCATTTTGCCATGTCTGAAAGTTTCTAGCACTCACTTCTTTTACTATGATTGTAAAGGTCACCACATACAGTACGGCCACTTGATCTGGGATCTTTTCTTAACACATTTTTATGCTGATTTTCCTATTTTAATTCTTTGTTCAGAATGTATTTTTTTCCCTCATTTCTTATGTGTGTAACAACAATTAAAAATATTAATTTACTGGGTATTTTTACTGTGCAGATACAATGTCTCTTTGCTTATTTTCTGTTTCTGTGACAGTTTCAACATGGAGCATGCAGCCAACTGAACCTCTGTACATGGCCAGTTTTGTGCCACTGTTGAGACAGTCAGTGGCATGGCTCTACCGCTGGAGTTAGCCAGCGCACCACTGATGCAGAACGCCACTTTCTTAGCCTGCTACGGTATTCATGTCTGGGAAACCTCAAAACACAGCCAAATGCACCCCACACAAGACATCCAGCACTAACTGACCAGGTACCCACTGCACAGATGGCACCTGGCTCATTTTACAACACACCCTGGGTGCCCGGGGATTGCTCTGGGAGGGCTGCAGAGCTCTGAAACGCTCACCCCTCACTGCTATAGCCAGTCCCATGAATCAATGGCCGTTTGTCCACTCTTCCAGGAAGATGGCAGCTTGCTTCAAACAATTGCTCTGAAAAGGCTGCTTGCTACCCAGAAACCCCAGACAAACGGCCAAATTCCTCTCTGCCCTTCCCCCCAGCAAAATTTCCAGGGGGAAAAAGAGAGGGAGCATTGACATTTTTCTCTGATGCAAGATTCTTCAGCTCTGTTTGATACAGTGGCACAGCTATTTGGTTTCATTAATCCTGAACCAGGCCATCTGTCACCAGTGGAACAGGTTTCAAGGATTTATTGCATAGAAGTTCAGAGTGTGTAAGAGTCCCCAGTTCATTAAATGGATCTGCTCACAAGCTTAGCAGAGATTCCTCCTTAGTCCCCTTCCCAAGTAAAGCAGTTCCTGATGTGAAAATGAAGCAGTATCAAGCAGGAATACTACCAAACTGTTTTCAAAGAGATCACAACAGGGAAAAGCAGGTGTTTCTTTCCCACTTCTCTAATTTTTTCTTTAACAATGTATTTCAATACCTTAGAGGTCTACTGGGAGGAGTATCCCATTTCCTCGCTCCTCCTTCCTACTTCTAAATGGAACAAAGGTGCCAAAATAATTCTCCAAGTGTGTATGACTGATTGCTGCCATGCTTTTGTTCTACAACAGGTTCCCAGAAGGATTCACACCAGCCTCAAAAAAAAAGACAATTCCTGCAATTCTGCAATTCCTTATCTGGCCTTGGCCATCAGTGATGAAGGTACTGGACCCTTCGGGATCTCAGAAGTTTTGTATTCTATGACCAGCTCTTTCATGCAGTGACTCCCTCATTTGCAAAGCCATGGAAAACAGTATTTACTTTCTTGGCATTGCAAGGATGCAAGTACTTCAGATTACAACTTCCTGTATACAATCTGTGATAATGAAGCCTAGATAATCACAGAGGTCCTGCTGGGCTCCAGGGACATGACAAGTGAGGCAGAATCTAGCTCTTCTTCTGAACTTAGAAACAGGATTCTCATTTAACAGTGCAGAAGCAAACTGATATAGAAAAGAGAACAGCACTCTTTGGCTTCTTATATTGTTAAGATACATTTGCAGAAATATCACCTTTCACATGCAAACTGCTGTTTGAAACCACTTAGAGGGAGGAAGCACTGAAACATCAGAACTGTCCCTGCTTAGCGGAAGCCCGACACTTCACCATCTAGTTTAACTGCCTATTACAGAAGCCAAGGGCAATGTCATTTTGAGCCATGCAAGCGAAGTCAGACTACACAGACACACTGATGCTGTTCTGCATACTGGACCAGGCAGAACCAGTTCTACTATTTATAGCATGTGTTTTGACTTCTGCAAACTTTATGCCACTGTGTCCAGGAGCCTTTTATCATCTTTGCTCAAGAAAAAAATAAAAGATAAGTGTCACTGCCGCCAACCCTGTGTTCTTAGTTTAACTCTTAAAAAGTGCTGCCTAAAATGCTTTATAGTTCATTGTATAAAGGAAGAGCACTGTCTGGTCAGTTTTCATAGGAAATGAGCACTCAAGTTTTGGGAGTTCCCATTTTCATTCTCATTCCCCTTGTTCAGTTCATTACTGTTCTGAACAAGTCACTGGGGGTCTACACTCTTTGTATCCTCTGCACCTTGCTACCTCTAAGCATAAGGAAAATGAGATTTATCCCTTCTGAGTTAAAACAGCAGGGAAGATGCTGCTATGTGGACAGATGCCCTATTTATTTATTTTGCAGATATTGAGAAAAGGACTAAAACTGAAAACATGGTTAAACAGAGGAATGTCAGTGTTCTTCCATGAGAGGAAGAGACAGAATAGGATACCTTAAGAGAAGAGGCAGATTTTTGAGAAACAGATCTGTAGTTCCTATAGAGTAAGTACAGAAATCAGCAGCTGAGACTCCTGCACAGCTATTCAGAATTAGATTTGCACATAGCTCCTCAGATCTACAGTAAACCCATGACTAAGCTTAATTTGAAGTAAAACCCTCATCTCCTAAAATCAGTTTTACGATCACTTTTTTGATAACTCTTTTCCTACTACTACCTCTTCTGTCCCCATCTCACTCAGTTGCAAATATACCCAGCTGCAGAGGGACCCTCCCTCAGAAATCAAGGCAAGGAGGAGCCTCAGAAGGGCCCAGAAATAGGCTCTAATTGCTAAGGGGCACCCTAAAGGGCTATTAAGGAATCTGAGTATAAATTAGCACCTCACCCACATAGTACTTCTGCAACCCTCACTCCTCAGTTGCTGCTGCTGCTTAGAAACAGGCTACTTTGAATAGCTTTGAATAAGGTTTACTCATATTGCAACATCCCTCAACTCAACAAGCTGCATGTGGGAAGGCAGAAGGTAAGTCCTACCCAGCAATCAGATCTCCAAGGAGATAGCTAGAAAGTTGTTCTTCTGCCCCTTAGAATTACCTGCCCTCCCTGAGCCTGGGGGTTGAGGCAGTGCCTAGGCAGCAGGACTACCACAATTCCTCTTGTGGAAGCCTGGCTCCAGAAGAGCACAGTAGCTGGTGCTGGCCAGGGAGAGCTCCCTTTGGTTTTAGGGACTAAGAAACTGCTCCAGCTGTTAGCTCTAGTTTTGAATTGTGACTTCAGGGAGGAGTGTGTCAGGGAGCATAGGAAGTGTGAGACCAGATAATACCAAGCAGTCTTAAAAACTGGTAACGAATTGGTCTTTTACATCAGTGATGGTTAGCTTCAGTTAAAAAAAGTGCCATGAATATATCCTATGCACAAAGAAAAGACTGCTTGAACATTAGAGCAGGAGGCTTGGTGTGCACGTTCTTTCCTTCCACTGACTCACACTGAACTACTTCTGCACTAGCTGCTGTGGCAGAAAGGACTGAACCCTCCCGAGCAGTGGCCTCAGCAGTTGTCAGCAGAAGCAATGATCACAGACAGAAATAACCCTAAAGATCCTTCCAAATGTAGCTGCTCATTATTGGTGCTGTATCAGTTTAATTTCAAGCTGTGCCTGGCTCTCCTCTTTCCTTTAAGAGAACAACAGGTCCTGAGACAGCAGGGTCTGTGTGCTTGGAGAAAGTGAAAATGGAGGAAACATACTTCAGTTTCACAACAGAAAAAAGGAGGTAGAATTCTCCCTCTCAAATGTTTAACCCTGATGGCTCCCTGGTTAGCTATAAGTAGGGTGAGCTTACCAGGGGCTGCTGCAAGTCTCGGGGCACAAGCAGATTTTTCAGAGCAATGCCATATTTATCACAAGACCAATCCGCAAGTTATGAGTTTGGGAAACATGACATGGGGAGACCGTGTGTATTGTCCATGTTACAGGACCAATCCCAATCCAAGCTAGGTGGAACCAGGCTACTGTGTTACCGCCTGATTTAAAGGGTCGAGGGGGGAAAAAAGTGGGGGGGGGGGGGGAAGGAATCTGCAACCCTCCCCCCCCCTTTTTGTCTTGGAAATTTTTACTACTGTTCATACAATGTTGGCAAAATCCTATTTCACAAGAAAGAGAACAGATTCACAGAATGTAGTGTCTGCAGTATATATGAAAAACACATCAGTTGACTGCTTGAAGGTGCTAGTTTGCCATGGTGCAGGGAAAACCTGTTTAGAAACTGAGAAGTGGCCTTATTTGCTCATGAGCCATCTAGGATGACTTTTGAAACTTGCTAGCCAAAATATACTATTTTAAGGGATCTGATTCTGCTTTCAAGGCAAGTCTCAGTGACTTCAGGGGAAGACAGTAAGGCCTGTTTTCAGATATGAAAACAAGTTCTTACAAACTGTGGCCCTTGCAACTCCAGCTGCAGTACCTACAAACTGAACGATTACCTCCTCTCTGGGCAGGCACGAGAACCAAACTGGCCCAGAGAAGTGTGGTCCACAAGGCTAGCCCAGTAAGCGTGTCTGTCTCAGAAAACAGCAGGCTGTAAACCATACTCATAGACCTGAAATTTAGGGCTATCCAACCTGGAGAAAATCACCCCCCTGGGAAGCACAGCAGCTGCCAATCTGACTTACGATATAGACAGTGAGCTTGTAGCTGCATTTCTCTTTTTCTAGCTTGCTCCACTGCTGTCCTTGGAACTGCAAGGTGGGATTACGAGTGTACAGATGCTGCTTGTTGAGTTGTACCACAACTTGGGGTTAGCCTTGATGTTAACATTGCCCTTATATAGGGTCGCTGTTGGGCAGGGGTTGCTGACAAAAGCACAGCTCATGGTGCAGTCATTGCTGTAGCTCATGTTGTGGCTCTTCAGTGAGGTGATGAAGTGGAGGGCATGGAGCCAGTCCTCCTGGGGACACCCATTCACCTTGAAACCAAAACGCTCTGCCAAGGACACAGTCACTCTGGGCTGCTTTGCACTGTAGAAGTGTCTCTCACACATAGAGTCAGCCCCAACAGGACAGGGAGTCTTCTCCTGCACTAGGACAGATCTGAGGAACCTGGGTATGACAGTTCAAGCCCTGGATCTTTTTCCACCAGGGAAAACTCACAGAAGAAGAAGGAATAAGCAACACTGCATTAATCTCAGCATCTGACCGGCGTACCTATCCCCCCAGGTAAACAAACACAAACTGAAATGCAAGAGAAGAAATAATCAGAAATCTCATTCTTCCATTAACCTGCTATGCAACTGCAGGCAAGCAATTAATTTCTTTGTTCCTCAGTCTGTAAATAAGGCATTGGGTTTTTGCTCCACAGGGATACATTGATGCTTTCTCTTGCTAATGCCATTAAATTGTAGAGTGCTTTAGGATATTTGGCTCCCAAGGTACTTTAGAAATGCGTGATTAAATTACACCCAATTATAAACCAAAGCAGGTGATCTTGGAAAGGGAGGGATATTGCTCTGTTCGGGTTGCTCTGAGGCATTAATAGTCTACAGAATGCTATGGGGGAATGATGGGGAACTGCATATACAATTTTTCCAGTGTTCACTGCAAAAAAGCATTACATTTTTCAGTATCTATTTACAGACACTTTCTCAAGTCTCCATCTCCTCTTGCATTGTCATGGGGTCTTATCAGGTAAATCTCCTGGATCCTAAATGTAGCACTGTAGGGCAAACTCTCCATTGAGACCTCATTCTCAGAAAATAGCTGTATCTCCTCCTTATCCTTCAGAGGATTTTTCCTACCATCTCCCAAGATTGTGCAAATAAATGTTGTGACTTGCCATCTAGAATGAAGAATAGGTAATCAATTCACATCTGCTTGTGTCCTGCTGTCCCTCCTGAAGACACACAGGCTGTTACCAAGGGATTGTACCACTAGGCACAGAAAACCTAGCTTTTTCCTGCTGTTTGCTACAGTTTCATGTGGTCCTACATCACAGAGCTTCCTGCAGTTACTTCAAACCAGTAAAGATCCCAGCTTAGTGTATCTCCATATGAATGTGACTAAAGTTACGTACCTGGAAGTGCTGTTTCTTGCCAGCACGCATAACAGAAGTAACGCACCTAGTTACAGGGACCAAGAAAGGCTGACTGTTAAATACAAATACGTCTCTAAGCCATCTGTCTCACACCTGATTACGTTTTAGTATATTACTCATTTTTTTAATGCATCACCCATTACTCTTATTAATGTGATCAGAAGACTTGTACCAGTATGTGGATAGGCTTCTGGGGAAATATATGCATAATCTGTTACTGTGCTCCTATACAGTCAGTCTGATTTTTATATTACTGTTTTATTAAACCAGGTATAGGCCAAGCAGAAAAATTTGGTTTGGATCTAACTACTCAGACGAACTGGATTCTGGTTTGCCCTCAACTGGCAAACTGGGCAGATGTTTTGATTTGATGAGCTGGGGCTTATTCAGTTTTCTTTGGCACTGCTCCTAATGAGACATCCTTATTATTGACTAGGCCTGAGCAGGGAGCAACTGAACAAAGAAGGACAGGAGATTTACCTGATGGGATGACCACTGAGAGTTTAATCCAATGTGTTCATAGCTTATGGCTGAGAAGGACTGTCACAAACAGTCTCCTACACGTGACAGATTTTTCTGTTCTTCATTTTGTAAACAATTCTGAGTCACGCTGGAAACAAGCTACAAGACAAGTGACTTGTAAAGCCAATGTTATGTTACGTCAAGACATAGCATCATCCTCTCTGCACATGGATAGCCCCCACTGTCTTGAAATTTAACCTAAACAATATCTGTATGAACTACTATGTAATGTGCTGCACATATACAAAGTACAGGCAGCCAAGTCCTGAAGAGATTCCCATCAAATGGACAGGATGTCCATTTGTGTCTGTTCCCAGGTGGGCAACTGAAGTGCAGAATAGTTCAGTCATATGCCCAAGGAAATCTGACCTTGGTCTGTGTCTTTGTGCACAGGATCCCCCTTCTTTCTCCAGCACTGGCATGTAATTTTCATGCTTACCTTTGTCTTTGGAGATGTACCATAGCTCCTCTGAATCCAGAGCATTGCTGTCCCCAGTGTCATTGCGGGCAATGACTCAGAAAAAGTATTTCCTCCTTGGGAGCAGGCCTGTGACAGTGTATTTATTGCTGTAGACCTTCTCTCTAGCTGTAAACCACGTGGCAGTACTAACATCACGTTTCAGGATAATGTAAAGAGTCTGCTCACCTTCTGCATCTGGGCTGTGATTCCATTTTGGGGTAATGGTGTTTGGGACTTCCTCAACCAGCTGCAGATTAGCGGTTGGTCACAGAAAATCTAAGAATTAATGAGCATGTTTAAGTACTGGTTTCTTCTGTTTGGGACTCTCCCTCTGTCATTTTCTAGGGGCCAATATTTTTCACTTCAGCTCTTCCCTTCCAAAGTCCTTCTGTGTCTTGTACAGTACTCCTTCCCTTAATTTTTTCTAGCCTGAGGAACCTGAAGTTTTCTCTGTGTGTAAAATTCCCTTCTGACGAAAAGATAAGGCTGTTAATTTTAAAGTACACTTTCTCTGTGAAGAGATGACACATACAAAATATACAGCAAAGGTCCCTAACTTCCAGCAGATCAGTACGGTAATAAGAGTCTCTCTAAGGAGCAAGGTAGCCTGCCTCTACTTGGCTGTTGGACTTAATTGCAATGGAAATGAGGTCACCAGGCTGCTGAGGGGACGGACACATGTAGTAGTCTTATGAGGATGTGCCCAGTCAAATGTGGGATAAGAAACAAGGCTGCATTTGGGGATGTTAGGAGCAGTAATTGCTTCACCCTTTCTGTCCGTATTAGACACGGTGAGGAAAGCCTTAGTCTCCACAGAGACAAACTCAACATCCATGTTAACAGAAACTGCATCCCAGAAAGGACTGCATCAGGACCTCAAGCTTTGCCTTATAGCCTGATTGCTCCCTAGGTCACTTCAGTCAGCAG